GATGCATATTCTCTGTCATATGGGCCTGCATGAATAAACTTCCTGAATCCTTTATCATCCGCAACTGAAAATAGTTGTGGATGATTACTATACCTTTCTAATGTGACGTTGTTGTTCCTGGCTCTCTTTAAGTTATATTTAATCTCTCCCTCCTGCTCTGTTCCTGTGCTACTGCCAGTGTAACTACCGCCCCTCCCCCCTCTTCCCAGCGCAAAGCACAAGGCTTGCGTGCGGAGTGAAGCGGGAAAAAAGTGCGAGAGAGTGGGGGAGAGAAAGAAAAAAAAAAAACCTCAGTTCCCAATAAGGGCTCGTGTCAAAGAACCAGCTCTAAGAGCCGTTTCGTTCGTGATCGACACATCACTAATGAACAGGCTGCCTCCAGGGATCCCAGTAGCCTCTTACACCCCATCAACAAAGGTCACATCTTGCACTGTGTAGAAGACTAACTTCTGAACACCAGTTCAGAGAAACTCTTGTAGACTCAGCATTTGTTTTTTTGTCTGTTTGTTTGTTTGTTTTTTTTGGGGGGGGGGGGGACAGAGGGGAAGAGGAACAGTGAGAAAGGCCATTAAAAAAGACCAAAATCTCCTGGATCACCTGTTGAGAGAGGAAAAAAGGGAGAAAAAGAGGAAACAAGCAAAAAAGAGAGCAACATAATAAACGCAACACCATCGCATTAATCTAGCTAAATGTAAACCCATATGGAAAAGATATATCTAAATCTTATAAACTTTGTATCTGTCTTGCATGAAACTTGTATGAAAAGCATACAAGAGTGAAAACAGATATAAGATCCCTTGAAAAATTATATAAATGAAACTTGTATGTTTTGGATACTTACTAAAACTATATTTGAAAGTAATGAGAAAGTGGCCATTTTCATGAGTAAATCATATAAGCCTTACATGATTCACTATATGAAGTAAGCCAAATCTTATGCAAGTCTTTTATAAGTTTTTTCTATTTCTTTTCCAAATGGGAATAACAGTAAATACTAAAGACCGATAGCGCACAATGTGCTTTGAGGTAGCAGCCAAGATAGGTGTAGTTTGTGTCTATGAACAGCGTATGCCCGTGTGCACACCTGTGTGGGTCAGCACTCTGTGGCTGGCTTATTGCAATAGGTTATCAATTATGGAAATTTTACTATGGTTATTTATGGTGATATAAGCTGATTAACAGTCAAGTTCATATTGCATATGAAAAATGTTTGTATATTTTGTGGGGGGGGTACGGTGACACAGTGGTTAGCACAGTTACCTCCAGTGTTGGGACTAACGCGTTATTAAGTAACGCGTTACAGTAACTACGTTATTATTGCGGTAACGAGCACGGTAACTAGTTATTATGCCAAAATCAGGAACGCGTTACTCGTTACTGGGATTTAGATAGGGTCGTTACTCGTTACTTCGTGTGGTGGCTATCGCGGAGCTTCCACAGATTCAGTAACATTAGCAAGTGGTGGAGGCCAGCAGGTGGATGAGGGAAAGGGACGCAGAAGGAAAAGAGACCCGAGGCGGCCGCCGGTCCAAGTGTGAACTGAACTTCAGGTAAGAAGTTATGACCTGCAGTCTCTCTGGGTCAGATATGAACCAAGTTTAGGTGGAGTTTATTTTCGTTATGCTGACTTTTTCCGTACTGCGTGCTAGCTAGCATGACGGTGTTTCTATACAGCTGGGTGGGTGCTATGAAGTTAATGATGTTGAACTTTATTTTGTTCATAAGTTATTAGAGTTGCCAACCGTCCCGTCTGGTATTCAGAGAAAATATTACGCGTTTCTTATTGAGGTGAAAAGGAACAGTTTGTCCCGTAATTCAGCTACAATGAAAAAGGCACAAAGCTGGAGTTATTCTGTATCTTTACGCTGCACAGCTGCCTCTTCTTCTTTCATTCTCCCCCCTCCCGCTCCCGTTTCTACTTCAATCATGAAACTGATCAATGATCAGCTGATCGGCTCTCTTGTTTGTTTATCGCCCACTTTGCGCCGAAAGAGGAAACCAGCAGATGTTGCGCTAAACAACAGCAGCACGTTTAAGCTTGATCAGCTGTTGTTAGAATGTATTTAATATTAATTTCTAGTATCAGCTGATGTTTGCTGGAGCCACAGCTGCAAAAAAGCTGCTGGCCATGATGTCGGTTTGTATATGTGGTGAGAGGGAAACATGAAGATGAAACCAGGAGATGTCCTTACTGAATCATCAGAGCTGTGATGGAGAAACAGGTTTACCTTTTAGGTGACATGAATGAGTTGAAGGGAAGTTATGAACTGTTTCTGAGAGACAAATAACCCCAGGATCCTTTTTTAGGTAGCTGACAGCTGGTAACTGTGCAGGTGCGGATCTAGCAAAGTTTTGCCAGGGGGGCCAGGTAGGGCATTAACAGGGAGAGGGGGGCACAAAGAAATACTTTTCTTTCTTATTCTCATTTAAAGTGTCTCGCTTTTAAAAAATAATTATCTGAATCTTACAACAAACGATTGATAGATTGATGCATATATACCATCAAAACAGTGTACATCACTGTCACAACAGCGTTTATTTTCATTCAAAGGCTTTATGATTTTTGCTATAATGGTGGGCTCTAGTCAAAATGTCCGGGCCAATTTTCTGTCCCAGTCCAGCCCTGTATGCAGCTCATCTGCAGTCTGGTGTTGCCTACATCTTCCTATTCAGAAGGCAGAATTTCCAAGTTCTGAGTACAATCGAAAGCACCACGACTGCAGTTTTTGTGTTGGATGTAAAAGGTGCACATGACGCTGTGACGTAGGCTAGAATCATGGCAGCAGTCAATGGCGGTCCAGGCGTGGGATTTCTTACGTGGAAATATGCACATTATCTTTTCCTTTCTATTGGTAGGTGGCACAGTGCACTGTGGCAAGTAAGCAAGCTAGAAGACTGGCAAAGTTATGGAAGCAACACATTAACAAGAGAATTCTGAGTAAAACCAAAGTTACTTTCCCTAGTAACTAGTTACTTTGAAAGTAACGAGTAACTTGAAGTAACTGAGTTACTTTTGATAGAAGTAACTAGTAATGTAACTCAGTTACTATTTTAAAGTAACTTACCCAACACTGGTTACCTCACAACAAGAAGGTGCTGAGTTTGACTCTTCTGTTTTTTTAGCAGCAAGTAGAAAAAAACAAACCAACCCATGCTGTGGTTCTGCAAGAAAACAAACACGTGTTTCCCACAGGGCCAAACATTTAGATCATTTTTACATTTAATACTAAATGGGTGTCTCTCCTATTCCAGTTTTTGTACCATATTTATGCTTCTGTATTTGTATTTGCCATAAAAATTTGAACTTAAGACATCATGTTTGTCTCAAGTAAGCTTATTTCCTAAAATGTTTTAAATTATTAGTGAATGTACTAATTAGTGCATGAATACTGAATAAAACAGCCTGGATTGTTTGTTTGTTTTTGCGTTTGAAACTTTGTGTCAGGGTCCTTAGGTCCTGGATCCACGGTTTTGAGTTTTTCTTTTGAGTTAGTGATTTGTTTTGCTGTTAAGAAATGATTTATATTTAGGTCTTTAGTCTTCTGATGGTAGTTTTGGGTTAGGGTTTTTTTTGCCTCGGGGACAAACTTTAGTGTTTTTGTGCCTTTTCTAGCTTTTGTTTATTATAATTTTGTTAGTTCTCTTTGTGATCTCTGTTTGTTCCCCAGTTGTGTCCTATGTCTCTCTGTCTATAATCTCTCTCTGTTGTTTTCTGGTCTCGCTGTTTAGTTATGTCAAGTAAGTCGTGTCTCTGTGTCTGTTTATCTTTTCGTCTGTGTCTTTGTCTCTGTCTCAGTATTATGTTTCCTGTTCTGTTTTGACAGTCCCCCGTCTCATGTGTGTCATGTTTAGTTTTTCTTTGTCACCCTAGTTAGATTCTGCCAAGCTGTGTTCCCCAGGTGAATCCACTCTGCTTTGCGACCTCGTGTGTATTTACGCTCTAAATTCTCCTCAATTCTTTGTCATGTTGTCCCTTAATGCTGTGTGTCATTTGCCTTGTGTGTTCCCCATTTTCCTCGTAGTTCCTTAGTTTATAAGTTCCCGATTTCTTACTTCCCTGAGTTAGTATCAGTTTAGGTTAGCATCAGCAATATGTCCTGCACGTGGGTCCACTCCATGCCCACTCCACAGCCAAATTATGACACTTTGATGTTGCAGCAAGAATCTGTTCATGATGCTTAGAGCCCTGAGAAAGTTCAAAATTGCTTAACTGCTTTCGAAACCTCACACCCTCTGTGATTTTCCCCACCAGCAAGATCAGCCATGCGTGTGCAGCTCCATTTCAGACACAGAAATAGGTTTGAAGTTGACCTCAGAGAATAAACCACAGCGAGCAGATGTTGCAAGCTGCTAAAGGCAGCATAGGAGACGATGTTGTATTGAACAAGCCTTGCAATGAAAAGTTGAAACATTTCTGTTAAAATGTGGTTTGTAACCTGTGCCCTACTGTATCTTGTACTGCAGCAGTGACTTCCGGAGGACAAACCATGATGGTTTTTTTTCTTTAGCTCCCAAGCAGATGAAAACAGTCTGCTTCCTCAACTGAACAATGAGCAAAATGTAAAATAGGCTCTCAATCAACACCCTTTTCTCACACTGTCTTTTTCAACTACTTGAACAAGACAAGCAGTTAGTTTTGTTTTTGTTTTTGTTTTCTTTTTTAGAAAAATCATCCAAGAGAAGGGTTTAGGAGAAAAATAACAGAAGCGCACTAAACTTTGCACATGAATAGATCCAAATAGTCAAACTAAAAGTGAAAAAATTAACAAAGGATATTGCTTGAAGTTCTTAAGCTGACAACAAGTAGTAACCTCTTGAATGTGTAAACTAAAAAAAGCTTTGCAGCTGTCTTTTTTTAAGCTTCAGTTTCTAGTACAGCAACCATTCTTTTGATGGTTGACGCTGTCATGCTGCAGCATAGGTCTAAATAAAACACAAAACTACTACTTCAACTAGCCTTTTCACCATCTGTCTCACACGCAAAGCTTCACAAACATGTTAATGTTGGTTTATTGGTGAAGCCATACAAATTGTTGAACTACAGAAAAGTTTGTGAACAAACACGTTGTTCCTCTTAAAAAATATAGATCCCATTGTAAATCTAATACCAACTTTTGGAAATAGGAGGTCTTTTAGCTACAGTTCTCGTTTTTCTTCCAGAAGGAGTCAAAAGAAAAGTAATACAGCAGAGGATCCAAACAGCAGTTAGAAACAGTAAGACACACCAGCGGCATGATTTCTTTGCCATGTGCAGCCATTCCTATAGGCACAGGTAAGAACATGGCAAATAAAACCAAGTTCATGACAAAGATCAGCATAACTTTCATCTTGTTGCTGACCTTTGCAGAGTCACTGAGATGTCTGTGCAGAATCCAAGACACCATAATGGTGCAAACAATGTTGACTGTTAGCATTGTGACCAGTAACACAATCTGAAGGTAAATAACTGCTAATCGAGTTTTACTCAATAAAAGCTCGTAAGAGTCATAAGATTTAAAACAGGTAGGTTGAGTGTGGTCCTGCAAATGTTCTAGAAAGTCCAAACTCTCTGGGATATTCACCACCAGCATAAAACTCCAGACGAATGCTGCTCCTTTCCAGGCATTGGACGAGGTTCTTAAATGGCGTGACCTCAGAGGATAAACCACAGCCAGCAATCTGTCCACACTGATGAAGGTGATAAACATAGCGCTGGAACGGATGTTGTCACGAAAGAGCATTGTAATGATGAGGCACGCCATATTGCTCAGAGGCCAGGTGCCTGTGGCATGAAAGTAGATCCTCATGGGCAAAGAGATGATGAGTAGCAGGTCTGAGAATGCCAGGTTGACCATGAAGACAGCGTGGGGTGATTTAAGGCTGTGGCGGCGAAGAAGAATCCACAGTGCGACTGCATTGAGAGGTAGACCTATCACCATCACGCAGCCAAAGACCCCAGCGTAAACCTGTTCGTCTTCTGTGGTGCTGTTTGATGTGTTCATGATGAGAAAAGACGTTCTTTTTGGTCCTTTATGAAGTATTGCAGCCAAGCAGCGAACATGTCCTTCTGTGCTCTTCATTTGTGCGACGTGAGGGGAGCTAGTATTGAACAGGAAACTCTGGTTGTGGTTGCTGACGTAAATTAAGTTTGCTGTTTTCAAATGCAACACATGACACACCAGCTGTGATTAACAACTCTACTCATTAGGATATGAATTATGGCAAGATGAAAGTAAGAGATGATAATGACCAACAGCAGGTCTGAAAAAATCAGATTGCCCCAGCATAAACCTGTGCGGCCATAGTGAATGTTTAATGTGCTCATGGCGTTAAAAGAAATATATACATACCCTTGATTAAAACTGCAGCTGAGCACAACACTCACACATGTATCTCTGTGGTCTTTAGCTGTGTCAAGTGAGATGACTGGAGAGGTTAAAAAGTCAAGTATTGCAACAGGAAATGTAATGATACAATCTAACAGTCGTATCACTTACGTAAAAGAATAAAACAATTAGTTTTTCACATGGTTTAGATGTTTTTTCATTTAATATCTTCTTTTATAAAAGACAAACAGTTGTATAAGATCTAACAAAGTTTAGAAATAATTGACACGAATGGTTATTAAGGAATAAAAAGCCAGGGGATCAAATTTCATAGCAGAACTTGTAATAAACTGTTTAACAAGTAGTTCTTATCAACTTTTGTTCAATGCTGCAAGATGTTTTATATTTCTGGTTTCATATATATATATATATATATATATATATATATATACACACACACACACAATCACTTTTTTTTGGAAAATTGGAAAACCATAATATGACTTGAATTATAAGTTGAAATAGCATGTTCTAAGGTCACTGCTCTCTTGGCGGATCTGCATCTTCTTTTTTCTTCCAGAAGCCATCAAAGGAAAAGTAATATAAGAGTGGATCTAGACAACAGTTCACAGCACTAAGACATATCAATGGCTTTAATTCAGTAGGTTTAACTGTAACTACACCTACTGACAAAGGTAGGAAAC